TAGACTGATAACTCCTGGGTACTAGGAATCAATTTCATTCTTCTTGGTATCCCAGACCCTTGCTCATAGTTTGTTGAATGGATAAACGAAGAAATGTTAGGACTTCAGTAGTTTTTGCAGCTAAAATTATTTCTAAGACAATATTCTTTTAAAAAAATATATATATTTTATTGATTTTTTACAGAGAGGAAGAGAGATGGATAGAGAATTAGAAACATCGATGAGGGAGAATCATAGATCAGCTGCCTCTTGCACACCCCCTACTGGGGATGTGCCCACAACCAAGGTACATGCTCTTGACCAGAATCAAACCTGGGACCTTTCAGTCTGCAGGCCAATGCTCTATCCACTGAGCCAAACTGGTTTCGGCTAAGACAATATTCTTTAACTGTCTTCTTCCTCTGTAATATTTTATAACCATCTGTTCTCACAGAGGTAGCTACAGATGTGCATGAAAGAGACAGTCCTGGTCTTTGTGCCGCCATGGGCACAATTTGGCCCCTTCAAGTATTTATAGGCATCTCTCTCTCTCTCTCTCTCTCTCTCTCTCTCTCTCTCTCTCTTTCTCTCTCTCTCTCTCTCCCCCCTCTCTCTTTCCATCCTCCCTCCCCTCACTTCTCCCTTTACCTCTCCCCTCTCTTCTCCCTCCCTCCCTTCTCCTCCCCTCCCCTCTCCTCTCCTCTCCTCTTTCTCCCCCTCCCTTTTTCTTTCCTCCTCCCTTCCCTCTCCCTAAATGCTTAATGTTTGTTTAAAGGGCAGGATCCAGTTTCTCTTTGTTCTGCCTGGTCATTCAAACCTTACTGCTCTATTTCTAAGGGAAATACTTGAATAACAATAAGTTGAGCCATAAGCAGGCCTGATCCCAAATCTTATTTCTTGCTTGGTCATGGAGCAGCCCAGAAAGGACCTAGCATCATTTAGTTTCCAGTATTATGACAAGGCAGGTAGAGAGGGAAGAAGATACCAGTCTAGTAAAATTTTCAGAAAATCAACCACTGATTTCCCTATGTTAAAAGACACACACACTGACACACACACACACACACACACACACACACACACATTGTTGTTCTATAGGCCACACAGGAAACATCTGATTTTCTTCAAAGCCATAATGCTTGTGCTCGGTTGCACAGGATTAAACCTGTCTGCTATGGGGTACTGCTAACTGGAGACTCCTGACTTAGGTTGAGACTGTCTAATTCAGCTTGAGAACAAGTTTGCAGGCACAAGTTTCCAACTTGATGACACAAATAGTGGTATTAGATGGTAAATAATTACTTAATCAGCAGTTGCTATATGTTAGGTGCTAGGCTAAGTGTTTTATTTTGTCTCATTTAACTTTTAGAACAACACCGTTACTATTGTTATCTTACAAACAAGGAATGTAAAGCTAAATGGAAATATAGGACTTGCCCAACATAATGGTTGCATCAAAGGATGACTTAGGGAACTTTGTCTGCCCATCTTTGTTTGTTTTTGTTTTTTAAGTATATTTTATTGATTTTTTACAGAGAGGAAGAGAGAGGGATAGGGAGCTGGAAACATCGATGAGAGAGAATCATTGATCAGCTGCCTCTTGCACACCCCCCACCGGGGATATGCCTACAACTAAGGCACATGCCCTTGACTGGAATTGAACCCGGGACCCTTCAGTCTGCAGGCCAATGCTCTATCCACTGAGCCAAACTGGTTTCAGCTGTCTGCCCACCTTAATCTCTACCTTATATAATTAAAAAAAATTCAACAGTAGTGATAATGCTATTCTTTGATCTTGACAATGAACATTTTTCTCCTTCTTAATTAAAATGTGAATACAATGATAATGATAATAGTAATAATAGCTAACATTTATCGAGTGTGTAACCATAGGTCAATATGTTCAAAGTTCTTAACTCATTGTAATAACTCATATTGAATCCTCACAATAATCCCTTCAGGAAGGTACTATAATTACAGTATCCTATTTTCAAATGAAGAAACAGGCATAGAGAGGCTAAGTAGCTTTCACAAGGCATTATGACTTATAAGTGGCAGAATAAAACTTGGCTATTTTTATTGATGTACTAGCACATGTGTCAAACACAAGGCCCTCGGGCCAAATCCGTCCCGCCAGGCCTTGCAGTGTGGCCCGCACCGAGCTGTCATCACTGCACTCTGCTGCGTTTCCATCACAATGACAGTTTATAACTGTTCAGTAAACTATTCAGCCCGCGATTTAGGCTGGATTTTAGATTTTGGCCCCTTCTCTGATTGAGTTCGACACCCCTAAAGGCTCGGAGCACAAAATTCATGCATGGGCCTGGCCAGAGATCAGGGTCGATTGGGGCCTTCCAGATGCCGGCTGGGGCCTTCCTTCCCAAGGTGTCAGCTGCTGGCCAGGGCCTTCCTTCATTCTGCACCGCCCCCTGGTGGTCAGCACCCATAATAGCGAGCCATTGAACTTCTGGTCTCCCAGTCGAACTCCTGAGGGGACACTTTGCATATTAGCCTTTTACCAGTGTATATATAGTAGATATGATACAGTCCAGGTAAAAAATATGTGCTTTCTATGAAAACTAGCCTTCAAGACAAGTCCTTCAGTCAGTTCTCCCTTCTAATCAGTCAGCAGGCCCTAAACTCCTTCTATATAGAAATTCTTTTTTTTTTTAAAGTAGATTTTTATTGGTTTCAAAGAGGAAGGGAGAGGGAGAGATAGAAACACCAAAGACAAGAGCAAATCAGTGATCAGCTGCCTTCTGCACGCCCCCTACTGGGGATGGAGCCTGAAACCCGGGCATGTGTCCTTGACGGGAAAGAACAGGAGGCTAGGGTTGCCTCCCGGCAATGGAGGAAGCCAAGCTTTCACACACTCTGGCCAGCCCAGGCCTCTGCTTAAGGCTACAAAGTTTCAATTATAGAAGATAAGTAAGTCCCAACAGAAATGGCTGCTGCCACGGAGCAAGCAGAAGGCTTGGCTCTGCTCCAGGCTACAAAGTTTAAATTGTAGAAGATAAATAAGCCACAGATACCAGCACCTCTGCTTGGGTGGCTGGGGGGAGGGGGAGCGCGCGGGAGGGGCAAAGCTGCCCTGCAAACCACCACAGGCCCCTTGCCCAGGCCGCCCACACCCCAAGGGAACTCCATCCTGATTTGGGACACCCTTCAGGGCAAACCAGCTGGCCCCCACCCATGCACCAGGCCTCTATCCTATCTAATAAAAGAGTAATATGCTGATTGACCATCACTCCAATACACAAGATGGATGCCCTCATGTGGTCAAAGATCCTGCCCCCATGTGGACACAAGATGGCCACCACAAAATGGCCAGCAGGGGAGGGCAGTTGGGGGCGATTAAGCCTGCAGGGGAGGGCAGTTGGGGGCGATTAAGCCTGCAGGGGAGGGCAGTTAGGGTTAGCCATGCTGGCAGAGGAGAGAAGTTGGGGGCGAACAGGCCTTCAGGGGAGGGCAAATAAGGGTGACCAGGCCTGCAGGGGAGGGCAGTTAGGGGCAAACAGACTGTCAGGGGAGCAGTTAGGCATCAATCAGGCTGGCAGGGGAGTGTTTACGGGGTGATCAGGCTGGCAGGCAGAAACGGTTATGGTCAATCAGGAAGGCAGGTAGGCAAGCAGTTGGGAGCTAGCAGTCTTGGATTGTGAGAGGAATGTCTCAGATTGGAGAGGGTACAGGCTGAGCTGAGGAACACCCCCCTTCCCTGTGCATGAATTTGTGCACTGGGCTTCTAGTAAATAATAAAATCCAGGGTTTCTTAACCTCAGCAGTATTTATATTTTTGGCTGGACAACTGTTGTAAGGACTGTCCTGTTCATCACAGGATTGTGAACAACATCTCCCCCATTAGATGCTAGAAGCAACCTTGCTGTTGTAACATCAAAAAATGTCTCCAGATGTTGACAAGTATCCTGGGAGAGAGGAAAGGGGCAAAATCGCTCCTGGTTGCAAAGCACTGACCTGAACCATCTCACTGTACAAATGATGTATCAAGGGCCCAAAGAGATGAAGTAACTTGTTTGAAGTAGAATCCAGGTCATCATATAACTTCATTTTATCTCTATAACATACAGGCCACGATATGGAACCCAGAGAAAATGGATGCCCTTTTGGTCCTTACAGTCTCTTAGGAGAGAGAAGGGATTGCACAATTACCTCTAATAAAGCATTGATCAGAAATAAAGTATTACACAAGCAGCAAGGTGTAGAGAAAGAGAATGAAATCTGGATCTGCCATTTATTTTTTAGCTGCAGGACTGAAGCAGGCTTCAAAAACGGGTCTGTGAACGCCTTGTGCAAACTGTAAAGCCCTTTACAAACCTCAGGTGTTACTAAAGATGATCAGGAATGTGATAATAGTAACTATTATGATGATTAGAGTAAAAGCTTTCAGCACTGGGGAGAACCTTGAAGTGGTGACTACGTTCCCGGATTTTCTAATAGTAGGTCAATCCCCCATTCTTCGCCCGACAGGGTGCAGGCCAAGTGCTCCCGCCCACAGTGCCCTTCCCTCTCCTGGAACCAATCCGGCCCTTGGGCCTCTCAAGCCCCGCCTCCCTCAGACTGTGGCCCCGCCCCGAAAGGAAGCAGACCCCGCCCCCTCCGTGCCGGCTGGAATTCTAGCCGCGCAGTTCCTCCCGGACTACGATCCCTCGCCGACCAACGCCGGAGATTCCCGAACTTTTCCGACCTCTTCCCGGCCTCCCTCGGGCGCGTGGGGAGGAGAAGGCGGAGATTGCCGAGGGGCGCTGGCCCCGCCCCCTCCGCAGGCTCGGGCGCCACCCGGCCCCGCCCCCGCCGCCCCACCCCCGCCACCGCCTCCCGCGCGGGCCGGAGGGAGTCTCCCAGATCCCGGTCCCTCCTCCCTTCCCCTCCTCCTTTCTCTCTCCCCGCCTTCCCGGCGCTGCCACAGTGGCGGGCCGGAGGATCCCGGCCAGTCAGCTCGTCCCTGCTCCGAGCCACTCCTCCCCCCACCAGACACCCCTCCCCGCACCTCGGGAGCCCGGACCGCCCCCTTCCTCCCCGGGCCGGCGTGTTGTGAGGGACAGTGAGAGGGAGCGGGCGGCGCGGGCCGGCGGGCGAGCTCCGTGAGTGCGGGAGGCGGGGCGCCCGGCAGACCAGGCCGAGAGTCCCGCGCGCGTGTGTTGTGCGCGCGTGAGAGAGGGCGCGAACGAGTGCGTGCCCGCCGCGGCCCGCCCGCCCGCCGCCCCGAGCCGAGGACCCCGCGAGCGCCGAGCGCCTGGAGCCCGTGGCCGAGGGGCGCCGGGCCCGCGCGCGCGCGCACGCACGCACGCACGCGGGGGCGGGGGCAGGCGCGCGGCCGCCTGTCGCGACTGTCGGGGGGCCGAGGCCCAGGGGGAGGGAGGCGGCCTGTCGCGGGTCGCCCGGCTCCCAGAGGCGAGGGGGGCGCGGGCGGATGGCGGAAGGCGCCCAGCCGCAGCTTCAGCCGCTTCAGCCGCTTCAGCTTGGGCCCGGCGCCGCTGCCCGGGGGATGAAGCGGGAGTCGGAGCTGGAGCTGCCGGCGCCCGGAGCGGGAGGAGACGGAGCCGAGCCCGGCCTGAGCAAGCGGCCGCGCACGGAGGAGGCGGCGGCGGCCGACGACGACGGCGGCGGCGGCGGCGGCGGCGGGATGCAGGTGAGCGCGCGGGACGGGCATCCCGTTACGGCGCGGGGCCCAGGGGGAGGGGAGGGGAGCGGAGGGGGGCGGTGGCCCTGGCTCCCGCGGCGTGGAGCGGGGAGGACTCCCGGGATCCTGGGCTTGGAGGTGGGAGGGGGCCGGTCGGGGCCTGGTTGAAAGGGGAGCTCTCCGGCGTGGACGCGAGGGAGGGGACGGGAGGTCCCCGGGGTGACCACGAGGGTCCTGGTTCCTGAGTGGATGAGCGGGCACGACGCGGGGATAGGTGTTTTGGGGAAATCGAACATGGTTGGGATGGATTCCATTTCTTCCAACCCTTAGAGTTGCTTTGGGTGGAGTGGAAGCCAGCCAGGGAGGTCCTGAGTCTGCTGCCCAGAGAGCCGCTGCACGGAGTGGAGGGCGAGGGGGCGGCGGTGGGAGCCCTCCCGGGGAGGAGTGCCGTTTGGGCAGCCCTCGACCCACCCCCCTGGGATGAGGGAGTGGCGTCCGAAGGAGCGGAGTGGAAAGCGAGAGAACTCCTCGAGAGCCCGAAAGGGGATGTGGCTTCGGTTGTGGGTTAAATCACGGGGAAGTTTGGCTGTGTTGTGGGGACAGCGTGGCGCTCAGTCACATTAACTTTTTGGCGCTTTGCTAATGGGCTCTGCAGAGAGACCAGGACCAATCCCTCCTCTTGCACTTTGTCGGTTGCATCTTCTTACACCGATGGCTAGGGCATGGGCTAGCTCTTGAGTGCTCTGGGATATCAAGGGAAATGTAGAGGGCTGTTGGGCTAGCTCTTGAGTGCTCTGGGATATCAAGGGAAATGTAGAGGGCTGTTAAAAGACTGGATTCTGAGTCGTGGACTCCAAGATAAAATGGTCAGATTGGGCAAGGGATGGGAAATACAGGGATGGGGCCATCGACCACGAAACCTTCCTAGGTTTTAGGATTTGGTCTCTGTTCAGAAAATACTTGCTATGAAGTGGGCCTCGGAGTATGGGGGTGGAGGGCTCACATACCAGCAATTGTTTTGACATCTGCCTAATTCTCTTAGAACCATAGAATGTTAGGAGGGACTAGAGACATCTTTTCCAGGGGTTCTTAACCTGGAGAGACTTGGAAGATTCTTATGCAGAACACTTTTTGGTGGGGAAGAGGCAATAGGTATTGTTGTGTGGAGTGGATTCAGGACCTCAGATGATTTCACTACTTTGTTTTATAGATGGGGAATCAAAAGTCCAGGGAAGACTGGTGACTTGCCTAAGGCCTCCCACTTAGCTGGCGGTAAAACTAGAACGGAAAGCGTGATCTTCTAATTCCTATTCCCTAGCTCTCTCCATTACACCGCTCTTAGAAATCTCTGTAGGGCTAAGAGACTTCCTGTGCTCTGCTCCTGCTTTTCAAGGCTCTGCCTGACTTCCTGTTGGAGATGGAGCTGCATGTAAGCCTGGCAAGTTTGCTGTGTGCTTCTGGGTCTCCTTCGCTGAGCCCACTCTGTTACTTCTGTTGATTTGGGTTAAAACAAACAAACAAACCCGACCTTCTTGGGCTAGTTTATTTTAAAATTCTTTTATTTGCCTGCTTTTGTTCTCCATTAGAACTCTGTTAGGCTGAGGGATTGTGAGAAGTAAAAGCTTGAGGCCAGGGGGGAAAATGTAGTGGAATATGGGGAGACGTTAGGTGAAGGGGGTGCTAATAGTGGATGGTCAGGAAGGGAGGCTGGATGTTGGTGCTGTTGAGCCTGTTCTGCTTGGTGTGTGCATATATCTGTGTATGTCTGCATTCATTTATTGTTTCTGTCAATCATAGATACTAGTGAGACTCCTCCCTTCCCTCCTGGGGCCCATTATTTGCTGGTTGCCTTCAAATTGGCTAAGGATAGTAGTATTTGGAAGTGGAGCAGTGCATAGGGACTTTGGGTTATGAAGAGGAAGGAATGGATTAGGTCCTTTGGGTACACATGGGCAACTGAGAACTATCCCACAGAGAATCTTTTTTTTTTTTCATTCTGTGTATTTGTGGGTGTTTTATGTTTCACTATATGCATTTTCATTGTTGTAGTTCCAACAGACCATGTCACACAGGTATTCATATCATCATTGATGTAGTGTCCTGCTTTCAGCTAGCTGTATGGTTCTGGGAAAATCCATCCTTTGGGGGCCTCTGTTTCCTTAGTTGTAAAGTGTTTATACAGGATGATTTCTGAGTTATCTTCTAAACAATATGTCAAGCTCCCTGATCTTAAGGTACTTGATGCTTACAATTTAGATGGGGAGACAACATGGCTAAAAAGTTTAAATAAGTGATTTTTTTTTTTTTTTTTTGTGTGTGTGTGTGTGTGTGTGTGTAAGTTCAGCAGAACAGGAGTAGAGATACCACAGGATAGATGCATGTCAAAAGGCATTTCATAATTTCATAATTTAGAGCCAAAGAGGATTTGTGCCACTGGGTCCAGAAGATGGAGATGATCATTCCTGCTGAAATGGACAAGGAGATATAATTGGGAGTAAAGGAGAAATAATGTCCACGAAAAGATAAAATTTAAGCCTAGATGACCTATACCTACCTCTAGGATGTTCTTGTATCATTCTGAGAATAATTGTAGAATATTTAATATTCATTTAACTAATGCTTATTGAGCAACTCCTATGTGCTAGGCCTTCTTGAAGAGTCTAGGAGATATGGTAGTGCACTAAACAAGATCCTACCCTCATGGAATGCATATTTTAATAAAAAGAGACAGGTAATAAAGAAGTGAACAACTATTAGATGGTGGTAAGTTGCTAAAAATAAATGGAAAGCAGGTAAAGGGATAGAGAGAAAGAAGAAGATGGTCAGGGAAGGCCTCTGTTAGGTGACCTTTGAATGGAGTGAGGGGATGGGCCATTCAGATGTTTGAGAGAAGAGGGCTCAGGTAAAGGAACTGGGTACTGAGGCAGTTGCATCTTCTAAACTTCTAAAGCTACGGTACTGACTGTCTCTTTAATGTCCTGGGATAGAGACTGGTGTAGCTGGAGCAGAAAGAACCGAGGTTTGGCAGCCATAGGAGAGGATATAAAAAACGGTGTAGAAATGCTATAGGCCATATGTAAGTAACGCTTTAAAAATCCTTAGTGCAGCCAACCTTTTTGGTATATGGGCTATTATTTACTAATTATTTTCTTAGGAAACAAATTTATTGTCTTACAATTCTGACATTGAAAGTCCAAAGTCAGTGTCCCTGATTTAAAGTTAAGATGTCAGCAGGGCTGGTTGCTCTTAGGGGCTCCAAGGGAGAATCCATTCTTTGCCTCTTCCTGCTTCTGGAGTCTGCCCCAATCCCTTGGCTCATTGGCTGGTGGCAATACCGTTCTGTTCTCTGCTTCCATAGTTACATGGCCTTATCTCTGTATGAGTATGTCTTAAAGCATGCGTTTTTTTCTTGCAACTTAACACAAATAGAGTTTTTCTGAGCTCATAGTTCTTTTTGGAAAGGCTTCTGACAGTTTAGTTGATAACAGAGCCCTACCTTGTCTCCTTTATGTATTTATTTTTTAAAAATAGGTTTTTATTGATTTTAGAGAAAGAAAGGGAGAGGAAGAGAGAGACACATCAATGTGAGAAACACTGATGGACTGTCCCCTGCATACACACTGACCCACGATCGAGCCTGCAACCTGGGCATGTGCCCTGATCGGGAATCAGACCGATGACTTTTTGGTGCACAGATGATGCTCAACCAACTGAAGGGACCCTCTTATCTCCTTTATATTGATGCTTAATTATGCATCATATATATTGTCCCTCAGTTGTGTTGTTGTTCTTGTTTTCCTGTTGAGACCAAAAGCTTCTAGAAGATGGGAGCGGTATTTTCCTTGTGTTTATTTTATTTTATTTATTTATTTTAATATATTTTATTGATTTTGTACAGAGAGGAAGGGAGAGAGCTAGAGAGTTAGATACATCGATGAGAGTCATTGATCAGTTGCCTCTTGCACACCCCCTACTGGGGAAATGCCCGCAACCAAGGTACATGTCCTTGACTGGAATCGAATCCGGGTCCCTTCAGTCCCCAAGCCGACGCTCTATCTATTGAGCTAAACCGGTTTTGGCCCTTGTGTTTATTTTATTTTAAAAATTATTTTAAAGATGTATTTATTCTTAATGCCCAACACTTTTGGGTACATAGCAAGTGCTCAATGCCTGTTGAGATGAAGTTGAAATTGACCTTTTTATTTATAAATAATTAAGGGATAGAAAAGAAATTCAGGGGTGAGAGTACCTTCATGAAATTCTCCAATTTTTTAAATGTCAAAAGATTACCCCTCTCCCCTTTATTTTACTTTGAAGGATGTTTATTAAAGCTGGGGGGTAGTGAAACAAATGAAGGGCTTAGAGTGGAAGAACCAATAGGGGAGAGCCTAGGTAGGCGGCTTTGGCTCCCTGGAAACGTTATAGGAAAGAAGTAGGCCCCAGCAGGGCTGCGGTTAGCTCACTGGGAGTCAGAGAAAAGGGAGACAGAATCTGCCCTGGAGACAGATTTGGGGGATTAGCCCAGGACAAGCTGCCACTGCCCATTGCTCCCTTGGTTGCAGGTCTCATGGGGAGAGAACAGCAAAAATGCACCCTTGAGAGGGAGAAGAGGCATGGGCATACTCCAGAGAGAGCCCGCCAAGATTAACCTTGTTTTACAGAAGGAAGTTACTTATTGGGTTAATTTTACAAGGCTGCTTACGAAGTGGAGCTGTACCTCTAAGTTGGAGATTCCAAAGCTGGACCCTGTTGAATTACTGCTACTGAGCTTTTGGAGTAAATTACTACTTCCCAGAGTGGACCATAGAGAACAGGAGAGAGTTGTTGGTACTTACGTTGTAATCCTTAGGCTCACGAGGGGAGAGGGGAAGGGCTGGTCCTACAAAGGGCAGGATCCAGAAGTTTTATGTGGGTGGAAGAGGAGTCAGCACTACCCTGGAAATAGTATAGAAACAGAGAGCCCTGAACCATGGAGCAGGAGGGAGGAGAAATCCAACTTGAAAACTGGA